TATATATATATATATATATATATATATATATATATATATATATAAAATGGGTCAGAGGGTTGCATGCATTCAAACTTTGCAGAGTATGGTTTAGTGGAGAATTACCCTTAATGATTTTGCAGGAAACCAACTACCTAGAAGAAAGCTTATTTTTTATGGTTGTAACTGGTCTCTATGTCACACAGCCAAAGTATAGAACGTTCAGGTTGTCTTCCTCTTAAAGTGAGTGTAATTATTAGCAAATGCTGATTTTTTTTAAAATGGTGAATTTATTTTTCTCAATTTGTTTCCAGAATCCACATTCATCGCAGTGGAAGGATCCTGCCTTAAGTCAACTTATTTGTTTTTGCCGGGAAAGTCGCTACATGGATCAGTGGGTTCCAGTGATTAATCTCCCCGAACGGTGATGGCATCTGAATGAAAATAACTGAACCAAATTGCACTGAAGTTTTGAAATACCTTTGTAGTTACTCAAGCAGTTACTCCCCACACTGATGCAAGGATTACAGAAACTGATGTCAAGGGGCTGAGTGAGTTCAACTACATGTTCCGAGGGCCCGGAGATAGATGACTTTGCAGATGGAAAGAGGTGAAAATGAAGAAGGAAGCTGTGTTGAAACAAATACAAGTCAAAAGGAACAAAAATTACAAAGAACCACGCAGGAAGGAAAACAAACTATGTATTAATTTAGAATGGTTGAGTTACATTTAAATAAACCAAATGCGCTTTGTTAAAGTTCAAATGTGCGGCAGTAGTTTGGGTATTTTTGGTTTATGTGCCCTCAAATAAAAGAAAAACAGAAAGGGTTGATCCTATTTTAAAACCATATTTTATTGTATTTTGATGAGATGTTAAATTCTCAAAGTTTTATTATAAATTGTACTAAGTTATTTTATGACATGAGAAGTTATTTATGCTATAAATTTTTTGAAACACAATACCTACAATAAACTGGTATGGAATAATTGCATCATTTATTAATGTGTGCTTTTGTTTCTTTTAACTTGGAATGTATTTTAAATAAGTTTTTTTTATATGGAAAAATTAAAACCCTTATGAAATCATATATATAGTATATGTGTGTATCTCTATATATAGATAGATCTCTGGTGTGTGTGTGTGTGTGTGTGTGTGTATTTTTTCCCACTTTTAAACATTTGAGCTGGATGTGGCATAGTTTTATTTTTTATTCTTTATTTAACAGACATTTTTACTAGGGCCCTACTCTATCTACATGGTGTCAAAAGTCAGAAAACCAAAGGTGATTTAAGAGGAGTTGGGGGTCGCAGTTAGGGAAAAGGTGTTAGAGACTATACTTGCAAAATCTGAGTAGTTATAGTTCAGTGATATTAATGTTATAAGAAGACTATATGCAAAATACTAAGGAAGCAGAAAGGTGAAAGTGACCGAAGTTAACCTGCAAGACCAGGGAAGGTTTTATTGGGGAGACAGCAAGTTATGTGGGTCTTAAAACACAAGTGTCACTTCCCCAGCTAGGATGCTGTTGGCAGTGACACTAGTTTGTGCAAAGGTGTGGAGCCCTGAAAGACCAAACCCTGTTCAGGGAACAAAGAGTGATTGTGTGTGCGCCTCTGGTGTAGAAAAGAAAAAGGAGAGATAAGGTTGAAAAAGTAGGTGGGGATTAGGCCCAGACTATGAAGGCCATTCTGTTTCACCCTCAGGCATTTGGGCTTCCTTCTATAAACTTTGGGGATTCAGCAGAGGCCTTCACACAGGGAGTGACGTGATCAGTGTTCTAGGAAGATAACACTGGGGACTGTGAAAGGGGTTATTGGGATAAGAGGCTGTAGGTAATGCCAACCAGGAAGTGACCGTACCAGTCCAAGGCTGTGCATTTTGCAGAACCATATTTAAGGAATAGGGAAGTGGCCTGGCAAAGATTTCTGGTGCCCTTATTCTCTCCAGAGCTGTATGTTTTCCAGCTGAGCATTTCTGCTATGGTTTTGAGGGGTCTGGTTAAGTTAGATGGGGCAGATGGAAGAAGAGAACAAAATAAATGAAAGCCTTCAGCAGAACAATCATCTCTTAGTTGGAACAGTCACTTGATAATTAACTGCAACAATCTCCTGTAGGTATAGCCAAAGAAAGCAAAAATGCTTACTGAGAAGTCTAACATGGCTTTAGTCCACGGGATATTTTTTTTTCTTTTTTTTTTTTTTTTTGCCTATTTGGCAAAGGGCACCCTCAATGGCCCCCCTGCCATCTGTCTCCCATCCTTGTCATGACCACATATAATCAGGGAAAAGCAAAAGTCTGGAGAGAAAAACAAACCAACTAATACTAACAAAAAGCTCCAAGTTTCTGCATTTTAAGAATAACATGAGCCCGTGTGCCCTCCACCTTGCAATTAAGTTTCTCTTTTTCCACATCTTACAGAAATGTGGGTTTTTAGGCCTTGTTTAAGCTCATTGTATTTTATTTAAGCTGGTGCCTAATCCAAAGCATAACTAGTATTTAATACTTGTTTTCCCAAAAGATTGAGAGCAGTGAGTTTTCAATAGAATTTTCTTGCCTTCCTACTAAGGATTTTCAAGCCTCTTCCTCAGTTGCCTGATTTAAAACCCTTGCAAAGATGAGTAAATTAAAGCAGGAAGCAGGGAAGAGATCGGCAGCGTCGCCTGGTGTTGAAGACCATGGGGAGCAGCCAGTATTAGCCCCTCTGCATCTCGTTCTCCTCATCTAAAGATGGAGGTAAAATTACCCAGCTTGCAGAATCGTTACCTCTTCTACAAAACTGTATCTTCCCTAAAGGTAAGAGCTAATGTCTGGTTCATAATTGTAGCCCAGGATTTAGCACACTTGTCAGCAAGCAGTAGGTATTGAATTAGTATTTGTTGACTCAATGAATGATTTAGAAATAATGAATGCAAACTACCTGGCATATAATAAAGTGCTCAGTATAGTGTGTCTATTTCTAAACTGCAATAGCAATAGGGAAACTAAAAACCATCCATCAGACAGATTTCTCTGATGCCTTAAAACACAGCATAAATATATTTATTTTGAGAAAGGAGTTTAGAGTCTCTATTCTAAATCCATAGTGCTTAGAGGTATGAAGCAATTAATAGTCTACATTCTTCAGAGTGTTTTGTTTCAGGAAGGTCCCAACAATTAATGCAGAACTCTTGTTTTGGGTTTTGCTTTAAGTTTTAACTGTTGTTATTCTTCCCTGACGGAACATAACGCAAAGTTACCATTGCATTGAAAAACCCAATCATGAAACAGTTGATTGTAAACACGTGTGCAACTACCCAGACAACGTCTCCCTCTAATTGGTGTTAATATTCTTCAGTTGTTGCCTTAAATGCTATGAAAACCTACCTATTGCAAGTAGGTGGAAATGTTACAACAGGAACAAAGCTCTCTTCATCTAACTCAGGTGTGCTGAATGTGGAAAACACCTATTTTTTCCACTGGCACCTTCACCTCAGTGTCATAGACGGCATTGCCTCCTCCTTTTACAATTAACCAAAGCCCTCAGTAAGTTAAACTTCTATACTACAAGGACTCATGAAGGTAACTAATCACCTGTAATACATACATTACTTTCCAAATAAACGAAAAGGGTTCTTTCTAGGAAAGAGCATTTGTATACTGTCAACTGGAAGCAGTTCCAAAGTTTCTTTTGAGATGCTTTGCTGTAACCCTTGTGAAACCATCATTTCCTCAAATTGCAACTATAGAGGTTAAATTTTGTTCTTCAATATGTGGTAAGAAGCTGCAAACAGTGTGACACGTGTTTCCTTCAAATGAACAAAACTCCCCATGGCATGATTCATAACACAGGGCCGGTGTCCCTGAAATTGCACTGAATTTTTTTTTTCTTTTTATGTATTTATGTATGTATGTATGTATTTATTTATTTATTTTAAGTTTATTTATTCTTTCAATATATGAAATTGTCAAATTGGTTTCCATACAACACCCAGTGCTCATCCCAAAAGGTGCCCTCCTCAATACCCGTCACCCACCCTCCCCACCCTCCCACCCCCCATCAACCCTCAGTTTGTTCTCAGTTTTTAAGAGTCTCTTATGATTTGGCTCTCTTCCACTCTAACCTCTTTTTTTTTTTTTTTTCCTTCCCCTCCCCCATGGGTTCCTGTTAAGTTTCTCAGGATCCACCTAAGAGTGAAAACATATGGTATCTGTCTTTCTCTGTATGGCTTATTTCACTTAGCATCACACTCTCCAGTTCCATCCACGTTGCTACAAAGGGCCATATTTCGTTCTTTCTCATTGCCACATAGTACTCCATTGTGTATATAAACCACAATTTCTTTATCCATTCATCAGTTGATGGACATTTAGGCTCTTTCCATAATTTGGCTATGAGAAAGTTGAGAGTGCTGCTATAAACATTGGGGTACAAGTGCCCCTAAGCTTATTTATTTATTATGAAAGAGCACCAGCGAGCAGAGGAGGGGCAGAGAGAGAGAATCCTGAGCAGGCTCCATGCTGTCAGCACAGAGCCTGATGCAGGGGGCTCAGACTTACAAGTTGTGAGATCACGACCTGAGTCAAAACCGAGTCGGAAGCTTATCCAATTGGGCCACCCAGACACCTCTGCTTTTTAAAAAAAATTTGTTTTAATGTTTATTCATTTCTGAAAGACAAAAGAGACAGAGCACAAGCAGGGGTGGGGCAGAGAGAGAGGGGGACACAGAATTTGAAGCAGGCTCCAGGCTCTGAGCCGTCAGCACAGACCTGGACACAGGGCTTGAACTCACGAACTACTAGATCATGACCTGAGCCGAAGTCGGATGCTTAACTGACTGAGCCACCCAGGCGCCCCTCCTTTTTTTTTTTTCAACAGTCCTTAGAGAAACATAAGAAACTCTGTGAAAAGGCTGTATCATGAAGACCACCAAGAAATATTTAATGAGTCCTTACTATGGGCAAGGAACTATGCTAGTTATATTGAAGTCTGCAAAAAATCAGCCACATACTCTGGCCCCAAGGAGTTCATAGTCTAATGAAGCAATGAGACATGCACATCAGTAGATATAATCTAAGGTGAAAAGTACTCAGTAACAGAAGAAAGGCCCGGAGAACTGCTAATGGGATTCAAAAGGTAGAAATCCCTGGAGGGCATGTGGGGATGGCATGGACCAAACTGTAGCAATAAGCTCTTTGATCTGAAGCTAGCACTGTATTTTGCAAACCGCAGAAATTACTTAATTGATTGACTATGGAATATAATTCTGCTAGGGGCTGCAGAGAATACATAGATGTAGCCTATGGGAGGGTTTGCCCTTAAGTTTATAATCAAATAAGAAAATCAAGATCAGCACATTTATTCCTTTAGCACTATTTATTGAAAGGATGTACCTGACACTGTGTTAGGTCCTGGGGCTACAAAAGTGAAAAAGTAAGGTCTCCGCCTTTAGTGGAGATGCCTGACTCCTGCAATTTAGGGTGATAAGTGATGATGAGTAATATTCAAGGTCTGAGTGTTCCTGGGTGAGGAGCATTGCCGGAACAGTGAGACCTGAAGAATCAAGAGCTCGGCCAGGGGACTGTAAAGAACATTTGTTCCAGGAGGGGGAACTGCAGCTCCGAAGGTATGAATTCAAGGCATCTTTGGGGCTAGCTTCTGGGGGGGCAACCATAACAGATAGAGGGTTTACTACATGCTGAGCACTGTTCTAAGAGCTTTACGGTAACACATTAATATTCACAACAACCCAGTGGAAGTAGGTACTATTGTTGCCATTTGGAAAATGAAGAGATATATTTACCTGGAGTCATATTACTGTTAGGAAGTTGCAAATCCAGGATGCAGACCGAGGTAATCTGGGTCTAGAATTCTTATTTTCCAATGATGGGTATTGAAGTAGGAAAGGTGGTAGGAACCAGACCATGAAGGGCCCGTCCTATTAGTCAGCCTTTTTTATTAGGTGATAGCTATTTTAGGGGTGCCTGGCCGGCTCAGTTGGTAGAGCATGTGGACTCTTGATCTTGGTGTCGTGAGTTTGAGCCCCATGGTGGGCATAGAGATTACGTAGTAAAAAGAAAAAAAAAATTTTTAAACCACTTAACACTGAGAAAAGAGGCAGTATGCTATCACCAGCATGAAAGGCAAGGAAAAGATGCTATGGCTCACAAAGTCCTAGTGCAAGGTTAGAAACTGCTAGCTAAGAGAAGTTTGGCTTTTAAATGTTTAAAAAACTTTATTTTAAATCAGTTGTCAACATTTAAACATGGAGACATTTTTTAGAAAAATTCTGATTTCCATTGCTATCTGTGGCAACAATTGGCTGGAGTGCAGAGGAGGCTTTTCCCTTTTAAACAAGGATTTCCTGTTTGCCAGAGACCTTTCCCCTCCCAATTGTCAACTCAAGCCTGCTTGGACTCACTTAGGCTTCCCTTCCTAATCCTTTTAAGCATGTGGGGTTCACCCTTCACCTCCAACAATTCACATCTCTCAGTCTGGGCCTCAGAACTTTCCTGTATAAAGTGAGGTGTTTGCATTATCAGGATTTCCCAATTGTTCTGATAATAAGACCTGTGGGTGTTTGTTAAAAATGCAGCTTCAAAACCCTTCCCAGGAGCTTCAGATTAAGTGCGGCTGAGATAAGGCTCAGAATTTATTTTTTAACAAGCACTTCAGGTAATTCTTATTATCAGAGAAGTTTGAGAACTCTTGGCGTTCTTCCCACTGAATTTCAGCAAAACCATTCTACAAGTCTCGGGAGAGTGGGAGAGAAGGAGGGGGAAGCTCTCATTTGATCAGTCTCCAGTCTCCCTGATGCTAACCCACTAGGAGCTAAGGAATATACATTTCTCTGCAAAGGTTGAAGAGATCTTCAGCGAAGTGATAAAACCAGAAATCTTTGCTACTTGTGGATGGAGTTAGAATTTACTAGTTTACTAAGGTGGTTACTGTACAAGTTACAAGAACTCCAAAAGGCGAAAGAGTCTGCAAAACAGAATGGCGCTTAGCACTGCCTTGAACTGGCCTACTGACAGACCTGTTTATTATGTGCTAAACACAACACTGGGCACTTTGGAAGACAAGGAAGAACCTGATCAGAATGATCAAAACAACCGGTTGTTGATAGAGTAGTGCTTCGTGTCAGACACAAGCTAGGAGCTTGGGAAGTGAATAGAGTTCGTATTTTTATCATATCAATTAGAACTGTCTGGCTTATAACAAGCTTACGCATTTATTTATTTCAACGTTTATTTATTTTTGGGACAGAGAGAGACAGAGCATGAACGGGGGAGGGGCAGAGACAGAGGGAGACACAGAATTGGAAACAGGCTCCAGGCTCTGAGCCATCAGCCCAGAGCCTGACGCGGGGCTCGAACTCCCGGACCGCGAGATCGTGACCTGGCTGAAGTCGGACGCTTAACCGGCTGCGCCACCCAGGCGCACCTACATTTATTAATTTGAGTCCTTGCTAAAGCAACTCAGGTTCAGAGAAGTCAAAAGACACTTCCAAAGTCACAAGGCAAGGAAGAAGAATCAGAATTTTACTGTGAACTCATTCCTCTGTATGCTGGAGCTATCTCTTGAAGAGGCCAACCAGACAGCACAGGTTAGCCTGGGGGAGGATGAAACCAATTGGATCTAATCTTTTACTTATCCAGTAAGTAGGACAGAGCCTCAGGAAAACAAAAGGAGACAAAAACCAGGGGAGAATTCTAAGAATTGTTCTCTTTCATCTTAGAACTTCGTCAAGGGAAAAGTGATTTCTGTCCCTAGGTGCTTTAATGCTTTTATGAGTTAGCTTTTATGCTAACTCATTTTCTACAATCAAGCGCCTGAGAAAGAATTTAATATGCACAGAAGCAGCAAACTTTCTTAGTATCACCACTTAACACCTGATTATATCACTGTATTGTAATTGTATTATAATTATCAAAATACTAACTTCACAAGAAATGGCTTACCTGGAGAAGAGCCTTCTGATTTCCTTTTGCTTCCTTGTGTAATTGTTAAGGATTGAGCTGAAAAAAGATAAAGACTAAAAGTGTAGTAGTTAAGACAATGGGCTTTTATAACCAGAAAGACCAGGGCTTGGATCCTTGATTCTCGCTAGAACTTGAGAAAGTTAGTGTAACTTCTTTAAGCCTCAATTATTTCTCCTTTAAAATGGGAAAATAAACAAGGCTTATGTCATTGGTTTGTTATGAGGATTAAAGGAATAGTGCATAGAAAACACTTAGATCAGTTCCTGGAAGTACTCGATCTATGCAACCTAATGATAATTACATCCCCCATGAGTAATCTTCTATGTATGTAATGTTATGTATGTCTTGTATGTAATTACTCTGTATTTGCAAATTAGAGGGTGATTTAAAGAAAAAAGAAAACCCCCAATAAACCACATAGCCCAATGGAACAGAATATGGAAAGACACCATCTACTTAGGTTATGTTCATTTCAACTAAGCTAGTTTGTCCTCCACTTCTATTAACTGAATTTGGTTCTTTCTTGTTTATTTATCAGAACATTTTCTGTTCAAGATCAAAGGTCACACACATACTGCATGCTAAGCACTGTGCTAGAACTTGCTATATAAACATGATTATGGTACGGTCTCTACCTGCAGTCTAGTAGAGGAAGCTGACACATTTTCAAGTTGGTGTGGTGTCAGGGCAAGTTTGGGCATGTGCTGTGTGTGTGTGTGTATGTGTGTGTGTGTGTGTGTGTGTGTTTAGGGTAGTGGTGGTGGTAAGGAAGCTTTCCAGGAAAGAGAGATGCTTGACCTGAGTCTTGAAGCATGATTAATAACTAGTCAGGGGAGAAAGGTGTGGCCCATGAGGGACTCTTGTAGTCTGTGGTATTTACTAGAGGATTAAGTGTTAAGGAAGGGAGTGGAGAAAGGTAGGCTGAAAAGGTAGACAGAGACCAGATCATAGTCTTGTATACCCTTTCAAAGAGCATGGGCTTTGTCCTGCAAGTATTGAGAGAATTTTAAGGGTTTTATGTAGAAAAGTAACATGGTTAAATTGGAGTGTTCTAGGGTGCACTCTTCTCAGATGGGTCCAGTTGGCCAGACTACAGGACGCTGGATGGGATTTAAAGGGGATAGTAGTTCATTGCTGTCCATCTTGACTCCCTGCCTCTTCATTCTGTGAATCTTCTTTCTTAGGAGTTCTCCCCACTTCAAGGGTAGATTTGTAATACAGGTCTAGCCAATCCTTCTGACTATGGTGATTGGTTTGGGGATAGACATGTGACTTCAGCTGGGCCAATCAGAAAACTTCCCAAGACATTTCCACTAGAGTAGAGAATCTCTTTCTGGTGTTGGGCTGATGCATGTGTCTGTGTTGCTTAGCAGCAGGCTTGCCTCATAGAGAAGTCTATTCAAGAGGAAAGGTCAGAGATGAAACCTGAAAGCAGAACTCCTGAATCCAGCTCTACTTGAAGTGAGGCCCATGGATTTCCAGTAATGTGCTTAAACAAGTTTCATTTGCAACTAAAAGTATCATGAACAATGGGTATTGAGGGATTTCTGGAATGTGAGATTCTTAGAGCCCAAACAAGAATAGTCCCAAGTAAGCCAAGATAGTTGGTTACCCCAATGCCAGGGGCAGCCACATAGGCTGGAGTCCAGATGGGAGGCTTTTGCAGTAGTTCAGCAAAAGGGATGATATAGGCCGAATTTGTAGCTGATGAGGAAAATCAGGATGGATTTGCGAAGTATTTGGGAAATGAAATGGGCAAGAATGGGTGATCAGATGTAACAGATGAGGGGAGATTCTTGAATGCCTCTTCAGTTTCCAGGTGTGGCAATTTAGTGATAGTGCTACCAATTAAATTTCAGGAAGGGAGATGGATTTCGACACATCATGTTCCAAGTCCCTGTGTGCTATCTGTTGAAAATGTCCAATAGGGTAGGTAAGTCTGATGCTTGGGCAAAAGATGGGTTGGATGTATAGATTTGGAAATCTTTAGCATATGAATAGCAGTGACAATGGATGGACTTTCCAAGAAGAATGAGTAAAATGGGAAGAGCAACAATGGGCTAAGGATTGCAGAATCCTTATGGGCTAAGGAGGCAGAAAAATGAAGAGACAGGAGGGAAAAAGGAGAGTTTGATATCACAGAAGTCAGTGATGCAGAATGATGAGTTTATGAAAAAGAATGATTCAAGCAGTTGGGTCCTTGAAGCAGAGACTGAAATGCTCCATTGAATTTGGAAATTGGGAGTTCATTGGCCAATTTACTGGGTGAAATCAGTTCCATTACAATAGTGGGAGTAAAAGCAGGATTGCAGCCAATTGAGAAGAAGGGAGGTGGGGCAGAGAAGGCAAAGAAGGCTGATCACTCTTTGGAAAATTTTAATAAAGGAGAGAAGAAGGCAAGGGGCTTTGGGAATAGCTGGAGGGTTTGGACTTGACCTCGAGGTTGCTTCTCAACCTGTGCATCTGATGGAAGATACTCGGATGGGTGTGATGGAGACATTTGAGTGTGAGAAGATAGAAAGTTTGAGAATTCAAGCCAAATGGCCCCAACATTTTGTTTGTTTGATGGGGAAGGCAGAATTGTTTGCCTGGTAGGAAGGTGATAAGTAGGAGGGTTTGAGGAGGGTGATAATGGTTTGGAATGAAGGAACTAGACAGGTCAAATGAAAGAATTGTGAGACACTACTGGGGACTCAGCAGAGATTAGAAACACTACTGCCAGTTTCTCTCCACTACTTTATTTTCCTCTTACATTCTAATTACCTTTGAAAACAAAGGCTATGGCAGGACCCTGCTTAAAAACCTCTACCAACTCCCTTCCCTTGCCTGTATAATCAATACAAACTCATAGCCTTTGACTTGACTCAAACTTCCTTCCCAGCCTCATCAACCTTCTCCTCCTCATACACCTGCCACAAATATCTGGGTTGTTTGAATACCCTAGACTCATTTAGAACCTAGTGCATTTGCATACACTGTCTTCTCTGCTGAGACTATCCTGTCCCTGTTCTTCACTAACCAACTCCTGCCCAGCCTTCAAGACCCAACTGATATATTGCCTCCTCTGTGAGAATTTTTGATTTAGGCAGAGCCAACTTCTTTATCATTTTTAAAAATTTTAATTTAGGGGCCTGGGTGGCTGAGTTGGTTAAGCGTTTGACTCGATTTCAGCTCAGGTCATGATCTCCCTGTTTATGCAATTGAACCCTGCGTCAGGCTCTGTGCTGACAGTACAGAGACTGCTTGGGATTCTCTCTGTGCCTCTCTCTCTTCTTTCTCTCCTTCTCTCTCTCAAAATAATAAAACAATAAAATACAACTTAATTTAATTTTAATTCTAGTATAGTTAACATACAGTGTTATATTAGTTTCAGGTGTACAATATACTGAGTCAACAATTCCATGCATCACCTGGTGTGAATTCCATTCATCACAAGTGTACTCTTTAATCCCCATCACCTATTTAATCCTTCTCTCTACCCATCTCTTTTCTGGTAACCCTCAGTTCTCTATAGTTAAGAGTCTCTTTCTTGGTTTGTCTCTTTTTTTTCCTTTTGTTCATTTGTGTTGTTTCTTATATTTCACATATGAGTGAAATCATAATATGTGTCTTTCTCTGGCTTATTTGGCTTAGCATAGTACCCTCTAGATCCATCCGAGTTGTTGCAAATGGCAAGATTTCATTCTTTTTTATGGCTGAATAATATTCTTCTTCTTGATCCATTCACCTATTGATGGACATTTCCATAATTTGGCTTTCATAAATAATACTGCTATAAACACAGAAGTACATGTATCCCTTTGAATTAGTGTTTTTGTATGTTTTGGGTAAATACACAGTACCATCATTACTGAATCATAGGGTAGTTGTATTTTTAACTATTTAGTGAAACTCCATACTGTTTTCCACAGTGGCTGCACCAATCTGCGTTCCCACTAACAGTGCAAGAGGCTTCCTTTTCTTCCCACATCCTTGCCAACACTTGTTGTTTCTTCTGGTTTTGATTTTAGCCATTCCGATAGCGGCGAGGTGATATCTCATTGTAGTTTTGATTTGCATTTCCCTGATGATGAGTGATGTTGAGTATCTTTTCTTGTGTCTGTTGACCATCTGGATGTCTTCTTTGCAGAAAAGTCTATTCATTTTCTGCCCATTTTTAAATAAGATTATTTGGTTTTTGGGTGTTGATTTGTAGAAGTTCTTTGTATATTTTGGACACTAACCCTATATTGGATATGTCATTTGCAAGTATCTTCTCCCATTCAGTAAGTTGTCCTTTAGTTTTGTTGATTGTTCCCCTTGTTTTGAAGAAGCCTTTTATTTTGATGTAGTCCCAATAGTTTATTTTTTGCTTTTATTTTCCTTGTCTCAGGAGACATATCTAGAAGAATGTTGTTATGGCCAATGTCAGAGAAATTACTGTCTGTGCTCTCTTGTAGTATTTTTATGGTTTCAGGTCTCACATTTAGGTCTTAATCCATCTTTAATTTATTTTTGTGTATGGTGTAAGAAAATGGTCCAGTTTCATTCTTTTGCATGTAGCTGTCCAGTTTTCCCAACACCATTTGTTGAAGAGACAGCTGTCTGTTTCCCATTACATATTCTTTCCTGCTTCATCAAAGATTAATTGACCACATAATTGTGGGTTTTCTATTCTGTTCTATTGATCTATGTGTCTGTTTTTGTGCCAGGACCATACTTATTTCATTACTACAGCTTTGTAATGTAACTTGAAGTCTGGAATTGTGATGCCTCCAGCTTTGCTTTCTTTTTCAAAATTGCTTTGGCTATTCAGAGCCTTTTGTGGTTCCATACAAATTTTAGGATTGTTCTAGCTCTGTGAAAAATGCTGTTGGTATTTTGATAGGGATTACATTAAGTGTGCGTATTGCTTTGGGTAGTATAGACATTTTAAGTTTTTGTTCTTGCAATCCATGAGCATGGAATGTCTTTCCACTTGTTTGTTTCATCTCCAAATTTTTTCATCAATATTTTATAGTTTTCAGAGTAGAGGTCTTTCACCTTTGATTAGGTTTATTCCTAGGTATTTTACTATTTTTGATGCAATTGTAATGGGATTATTTTCTTAATTTCTCTTTCTTCTGCTTCATTATTAGTGTATAGAAATGCAACAGATTTCTGTACATTGATTTTGTCTTTTGTGACTACTGAATTCATTGATCAGTTCTAGTAATTTTTTGGTAGAGTCTTTAGGTTTTCTATATATTGTGTCATCTGCAAGTAGAAGTTTTATTTCTTCCTCACTGATTTGGATGAATTTCATTTATTTTTGTTGTCTATCTGCTGTGGCTAGATCTTCCAGTACTATGTTGAGTAAAAGTGAGGAGAGTTGATATCCTTGTCTTATTCCTGACCTCAGGGGGGACATCTCTCAGATTTTCCCCATTGAGTGTGATGTTTGTTGTGGGTTTTTCATATACGGCCTTTATTATGTTCAGGTATGTTCCCTCTAAACCTACTTTGTTGAGGGCTTTTATCAAGAATGGATGTTATACTTTGTCTTATGCTTTCTCTGCGTCTATTGAAATGATCATATGGTTTTTATCCTTTTATTGATGTGGTATGTGACATTGATTTGTGGATATTGAACCACCCTTGCAAACCAGGAATAAATCCCATTTGATAGTAGTGAATGATATTTTTAATGTATTGTTAGATTTGGTTTGCTAGCACTTTTGTTGAGGATTTCTGCATTAATGTTCATCAGAGATATTGGCTTGTAGTTCTGTTTATTTTGGTATAAGGGTGATACTGGCTTCATAGAATGAATTCGGAGGTTTTCCTTCTATTTTTTGGAAGAGTTTGAGTAGAATACGTATTAACTCTTCTTTAAATGTTTGGTAGAATTCACCTATGAACCATCTGGTTCTGGACTTTTGTTTGCGGGCAGTTTTTTGATTACTACTTTAATCCCCTTGCTGGTGATTGGTCTGTTCAAATTTTCTGTTTCTTCCTGCTTCACTTATGGGAGGTTGTATGTTTCTAGGAATGTATCCATTTCTTCTAGTTTGTCTAATTTGTTGGCATACAGTTTTTCATGATATTCTCTTATAATTATTTGTCTTTCTGTGGTGTTCATTGTTATTTCTCCTCTTTCATTTGTTATTTTTACTTGAGTTCTTTCTTTTCTTTCTCCCCCCTTCCCTTTCTCTCTTTCATCTGGCTAGAGGTTTATCCATTTTGTTGATGTTTTCAAAGAACCAGCTTCTGGTTTCATTGATCTGTTTTATTGGTTTTCTTACTTTCTAAATCATTTGTTTCTACTCTAAACTTTATTATTTCCTTCCTTCTTCTGGTTTTGGGTTTTATTTATTGTTCTTTTTCTAATTCTTTTAGGTGTAAGGTTAAGCTGTTTAGTTGAGATTTTTCTTGCCTCTGGATGTAGGCCTGTATTCCAATATACTCCCCTCTTTAGAACTGTTTTTGCTGCATCATACAGGTTTTGGACCATTGTGTTTTAATGTTTGTTTCTTTTCTTTTCTTTCTTTTTTTTTTTTTTTTTTACTTTTTTATATTTTTTTTCATTTTTGTTTGTTTCCATGTATTTTTTGATTTCTGCTTTTAATTCTTGGTTGACTCACTTATTGTTTAGCAGCATGTTATTTAACCTCCATGTATTTGTGGACTTTCCAGATTTTTTTCTTGTGGTTGATTTCTAGTTTCATAGCATTGTGGTCAGAAAAGATGCATGGTATGACTTTGATCTTTTTGGATTTGTTGAGGCTTGTTTTGTAGCCTAATATGTGATCTATTCTGGAGAATGTTCCGTATGCACTTGAAAAGAATGTGTATTCTGCTGTTTTATGGTGGAATGTTCTGAATATATCTAGTCCAGTGTGTCATTCAAAGGCACTGTTTCCTTGTTGATTTTCTGTTTGGATGATTTGTCCATCGATGTAAGCGAGGTGTTCTTTTACTGTTATTTGTTTACTGTTATTGTATTATTATTGAATTGTTCCTTTGTGTTTGTTATTAGTTGCTTTATGTATTTGGGTGTTTCCATGTTGGGTGCATAGGTATTAACAGTTGTCATATCTTCTTGTTGGATTGTCCCCTTCATGATTTTATAGTGTTCTTCTTTGTCTCTTTTTACAGACTTTGTTTTAAAGTCCATTTTGCCCAATATAAGTATTGCTACTCCAGCTTTCTTTTGACATCCATTTGCCTGATAAATGTTTCTTCATCTCCTCACTTTCAATCAGCATGTGTCTTTAGTCTGAAATGAGTCTCTATTAGGCAACATATAGATGACTTGTTTTTCTATCCATTACATCACCTTATGTCTTTTGATTGGAGCATTTAGTCCATTTACATACAGAATAATTATTGATAGATAACTATTTGCTATTTTTTTTTTTTACTTGTTTTGTGGTTGTTTTTGTAGTTTTTCTCTGATCCTTTCTCCTCTTTTTCTTCTTCATGGTTTGCCGGTTTTCTTTAGTGATATACTTAGATTCCTTAATCTTCATTTTTTTGCATACCTATTTACTGTTTTTTGGCTTGTGATTACCATTCAGTTTATATAAAACATCTTCTGCTTGTAGCAGTCTATATTAAGCTAATGGTTGCTTAATTTTGAACTCATTCTTCTCTTCCCTCCAAGGTTCAGATATTTGGTATCATATTTTACATCCTTCTATTTTGTTCCTTCCTTGACTGATTTTTACAGATTTATTTATTCACTTATTTATTTTGCTTTTGTGCTTCCTATTTTCCTTATTCTTATGTTGTTATTGTTGTTTCCCCCCTCAGAGTCCCCTTTAACATTTCTTGTAGGGCTGGTTTAGTGGTCATGCATTCTTAACTTTTGTTTGTCTGGGAAATTCTTTATCTTCTATTCTGAATGATAGCTTTGCTGGATAGACTATTCTTACCTTAAGACTTTTTCCTTTCCACACCCTGAATATATCATGTCACTCCCTCCTGGCCTGCAAAGTTTCTGCTGAAAAATCAGCTGATAGTCTTATGGGATTTCCTTAACTGTCTTCTTTTCTCTTGCAACCTTTAAACCTCTTTATCACTATTTTTTTTTTTCTTTTTTTTTTTGGTCATTTTAATTACTATGTGTCTTGGTGTGGACCTCTTTGGGTTGAATTTGTTGGGGGAATCTCTGTTTACTTCCCCAGAATCATGACATTTTCAGCTATTATTTCTTTAAACACATTTTCTACCCCCCTTTCTCTCTCTTCTCCTTCTGGGATCCCTATAATGTGCATGTTATTATACTGAATGGTGTTGCTGAGTTCTCTAAGTCTGTTCTCATTATGGAGTATTTGCTTGTCTTTCACCTCTTCAACTTTATTGCTTCCCATTACTCTATCCTCCAGGTCACTGATCTATTCCTCTGCTTTCTATAGCCTACTATTTATCCCATCTATTACATTTTTAATTTCATCTGTTGAGTTTTTCATCTCTGATATGTTAGTTTTTATCTCCTTTTAAGGGTCGCACTGACATCCTCCACTCTTTTCTGAAACCGGTAGCTTTATGATCATTACCTTAAATTCTCTATCAGGCATATTACGTATTTCTGTTTCTGCCTAGA